AAAAAATATCAGCCAGTGTGCAAAAAAAAAAAATTGCACGAGATGCACATGAAAAACCCAATATTCACGTGCAGCATTGTGTGTGAGCCATTTAAAAGCATGTTTTCAACTTAATGTGCAGTACATGAACTGTGAAACGTCAATCTGTCGTAATTTGTTGTTGGACATGTGAAGGAATCAAGCTAGAGATGCCGAGACTTAATGAAAATCAACGGAATGAAGCCATGGGAATGTCCAGGGCTGGCATGTCTACACGTGCTATTGCCAGACACTTCAATTGTTATCAGTCCACTATTGTAAGGTTGGTGGAACGTGTTCGAGTTACTGGATCAACACGTGACCGTCAACGTCCTGGTCCACAACGCGTTAAGACCCAGGCTCAAGACCGCTACATCCGGGTCACTCATCTGCGTGACAGATTCCTCCCAGCGACTCGAACAGGTGCAGCAGTCGTCGGAAGACAAGGATCAGTCAGTGCCAACACCGTAAGACGTCGTCTAAGAGAAGTAGGACTCCGTGCACGACGACCTTATGTTGGAGCTATCCTCAGGGATCATCACCGTCAGCGGCGTTTGATATGGGCTCAAGGACACCAGACATGGAGAAGAGTAGACTGGCAAAGTGTGCTCTTCAGTGATGAGAGTCGCTTTCATCTTTATCACGCTGATGGCCGTCAACGTGTGTGGAGACGTCTTGGGGAACGTCTTGCAGACTGCTGCGTCTTCGAAACGAATCGATGGGGTGGGGGAAGTGTAATGGTGTGGGGAGACTTCACATTTCTGCAGGGGTTGCGTTAATGCAGACTGCTGCGTCTTCGAAACGAATTGATGGGGTGGGGGAAGTGTAATGGTGTGGGGAGGCTTAACATTTCATCACCGGACCGCCCTACACATTTGCAGAGGTCGCGTTAATGCTGTAGCCTACAGTGATGATGTCTTGCAAATTGTTGTTCCGATGTTTCGAGCGCACCCACAACTTCAGCACTTCCAACAGGATAATGCACGTCCGCATACCGCCAGTTTTAGTAAGTATTAGTATGGACTACCTGGCTGCTAACAACATCAATGTCTTGGACTGACCAGCCATGTCTCCGGACATGGCACCGATAGAACATGTCTGGGATGAGACTGGACGCCGTCTGTATCGGAGACCACAGATGCACACCATTGCTGCTTTAGAAGCTGCTCTTGTCCAAGAATGGAACAATTTGCCCCAGGCCTTCTTTCAAACATTGGTAAATTCCATGCGACATCGCTGCACAGCGTGCGTAAGAGCCCGTGGAGGACACACGCGCTACTGACATCTGTGTCGTATTTTTGGTTTTGACCCCTCTGACTTTGTACCGTTGATTACAGATTATAAACATCCATAAGTGTACAAATGTGTTATTGATGTATTCCCATTTGAATATTGTTCACAATAAGAAGCAAAATAAATAAGATATGTTTACAGGATCATTTATTTTGTTATACGAAAAACTAAGTGATGCGTTTTCCATGGAGCTCAGTATATTTATTTTAATTTCTATAACATTTAATTTCTATAACATTCATTTATTTTAATAATAATAACCTCATTGATGCTAAAAAAAAATAATTTATTCTATTAATAAATTATTTATTTTAATAAATATCATTTATATCATTTAAGACCATTTTACTTTCATTCCCGCCATCTTATTGTGGAAGTGGACCATACAGTTTGCTGATTTTTCTTAGTAATCTAGTTGTAACTTCCCTAAATCTTAAATAACTGGCCCTCTATGTGTCGATATTTTTTCCGTTGGTATCGTCGAGTGAACCCTCTGACATCATGATCAAGTCTAGAGGTATCTTATCGGATTCTGCAAAGATAAATTCGTAACGTACCGGAATCACAAGTACAATGTTGCCATAAATCACATGCATCACACTGGAGGCCTTCTTGTTGAGGACGGACAGGATCGCCATACTTTTCGGAATTTTCGCTAGCCATAACAGATTCGTAGAAAAATTGAGAATGATTAAAACTGGGTCGTTCGTTACTGGAGTTTTGCATTCACTTCCACCAAAAGGGTGATATCGTAGACGGTTATTATAATTGGAATGTTGTTATTTCAGATTTATTGCCCAATACAATAAATATGACATTATGGACAGGTTGATTTAATTAAATTATTTACACTTAAAGGCTTGAAAATGGGTAAAAACACAAAAATAAGAAAGTCCTTGTAACTCACCTTAAAACACAATAAAATCGCTGTCATGAGAAGAGAGGGCGGGCCATCTTCTCTCCTTGTCGAAATAAAAACAAGTTAAAATGGGAGGTCCAGCTGAATGATGATAAAACACAGCCCTATTCCAGTCATAACAGCAGGCAAAAGGAATAGGGACCTACACAATCATCATTAACAATGACAGTGCATATCAATCAATTTAATTTAATATGTGTTTTAAAAATTTAATGCCATGTATTATTTCTATAAATGTTTTAATTTGTTTTAATTGCCTGGTTCTGTGTTGCTGCTGGCTCTTCTTTTTCTTTTCCGGTAACTTTTATCTGGGGAAAGTTATAACAAGAAAAACCATAATGGAATGTCTATAACTCTCAAACGCTGAATTTGTGAACCGCATTAAAGAACTTTTAACTAACTTTTAACTATGTTCCTTTTGCCTGTTGTCATGACTGGAATATGGCTGTGTTTTATCATCATCAGTCAGCTGGACCTCCTGTGTTAACCTGTCTTTATTATGACAAAGGGAGAAGATGACCTGAGAAGACGACAGCGATTTTATAAGTGTGTTTTAAAGTGACTTTTTGATATACAAGGCCTTTTTTATTTTTGTGTTTTTTTACTAATTTTAAGGTGACTTTGAATATACACGGACTTTTTTATTTTGTGTTTTTACCAATTTTCAACCCATTAAGTGTAAATAATTTGATTAAATCAATCTGTCCATAATACCACATTTAACGTATTGGACGTTAAATCTGTAATAAACAACAAAAACAACAGTGTTTTTATTTCTCTTTCTTCAATAATCTAAACTTACTCATGAAAATGGTTTCACTAATCGCCAGATTAAATACAACAATCGCCGATCAATTAAATACAGATTAGATACATTTGGGCTTAGACTATTAGTTAATTTTCGTCAATAATCCCAGCTTGGTTTCACTCATAGAGGTGTATATAATTGACTAGAGTGTATGGTGGTCACGTGATCGTGTGCTGACTATGGATCTTGGTCGCCATTTTACAAAATGAAATGAAATCGGGTTTAACGTCCTACTGTTCTGCTCCTAGCTAGACTGGGCTAATGAAGACGGGCATACGCCATACAGTGGGCTATGAGGGAAATTTTGCCCGGGCAGCGGCGCTACAGTTTACTCTTATATCGAATTCCAACTGCCAAGGGATTTTTTACGTGCACTGGACCTCGGTTTTTCATCCCCTCCGAACGACTAGACAGCTGTCCTTGTCAGGCCCTCCGTCCTGCATCACTGACAAGGGGAAATCACGCCGGAAAAACTGGACGGACTTTTCTCAGGCAGTGCAGGGATCGAACACCCGACCTCCAGGCTAGCGCGCCAGCGTCTTACCCACTTAGCCAGGTGATCCCCGGGAAGGTTTAGCCTTCGTCGCCATATGCCATAGAGTTGTTGTTTTGGTCATTTCATAAGTAAGATATGTTATATGTGAAATAGTGATCTAATAGATATAGTATAATCATGATAATAGTGTAAAATAATCATAGAACTAGAATACTAACGGGAACGCCCACCGTGTGACGTCACTACCTTATGTGACGGCCGGCCTCTGACGCTGAATCGGGCACAGCGCATTTCCGGTTTCTGCCCGCACTAACAAAATGCCTGGCGCGAATTGTGTTTTGTTCGGATGTTCCGCCTGCAATAAAAGAAATCAGAGTTTATCTTCCTATCGCTTACCCCAAAACAACATGGAGTGGAGAGAGAATCTTTTACGTATCATACAGTCTACTAGATCAGACCCGATAAATGAAAAGACCTTGACAATATGTTCAAGATACTTTGTTGAGCCGGATTGTTTAGTTGAGAAAGTTAAAGTAAGTGAAAACTCAAAAGAAATTAAATTAAGTACATTCTAGTTGGCACCTCACCCTGACACCCCACACTGAAATTAAATTAAACCCATACTAGCCGAGTGTCTGTATTCTCATGTTTGCCCGTTAGATTTTACCTTTTCCTTTATCAAAGTTGCATGCTATAGGTTTGTTTACATTAGTGCCATAGCCAGTCTACTTTCATTTTGTTATGAAATTGACGAATACTTATTTTAATAATTGGACAAAAATTACAATTACACATTATGCAAAAACAATTAGTACAGGCAGATAGAGCTTGGAAAACCTGATGAAAGAATGACACCAAGATCACCCAATTTGGACTACTACAGCCTGAGTAACAATATTTTGAAGTTTAATTAACGGCCTTGTTTTTGTACCTAAAGACAATGGTATTAATGAAAGGAGTGTGTGATACAATTAGGGGTGTTTACAACATCTTTTCTTCATAACTCCAGTAATATTCAAGATAGCCTAATGAAATTTGCAGGAAATGTTTATTGTGAGATACTCTACAGTTTGGCATGTTCAAAATTACAGGAAAATATAATTAGGCCCCTAATTAAGCACTAATTAGCCTAATTAGCATAACCGGATTTTCCTTGTTTTCAGAGAATAACTTCAGTTATAGTCAAGATAGCCCAATGAAACTTGCAGGAAAAGTTTATTGTGTGATACTCAACAGTCTGATATGTTCAAAATTACATAAAATATAATTAGGCCCCTAATTAGCATTACCGGATTTTCCTTGTTTTCAGAGAATAACTCCAGTTATAGTCAAGATAGCCCAATGAAACTTGCAGGAGAAGTTTATTGTGTGATACTCAACAGTCTGATATGTTCAAAATTACATTAAATATAATTAGGCCCCTAATTAAGCACTAATTAGCATAACCAGATTTTCATTGTTTTCAGTGAATAACTCCAGTTAGAGCCAAGATAGCCAAATGAAATTTGCTTGAACCTTTCTGAAACCAAAGAAAATCATAGGCTGCAAAATAAAATAAAACATCAATCAATTGGTACACTGCTTGAGATGAATTGGTTCACTGTGGCTCTGCAGTTCCAAATACCTGGACAACAGAAGGTGGGTCAGTCATTGATGGAACACTGACCAAAATTTGTTACCTTGAAATGATCCATGAATGGTGAGTGTTAAAAGAGTTCCACATTCATAAATAACCCCCAATTATAGTTTGACAGTCACTGCTGTAGAAAGAGGTGGGAGTTTTTAGATAGTCAAGTCCTTCAAAATGTAGTCTGCACCAATAGCAAACACTCCCATGTCATATTCAGAATCTTCAGATTTGTCCATTGTTTGATTAAGGGGCCAGTATGACACAACATACTTCTTGGTGGTACCTTTACCAAACATCTTCTCTAAAAGTCCATTGTAGGGGACCTGCAGCCGATTTTCATACCATATGTGGCATATGTACTGCCCAACATATTTCCCTGTAAGGGGGGGGGGGGTTGGATGGCTGAATGGTTAGCGTGCGCGCGCTGTATCATAAAGTCTGTCATTGAGTTGACTGGCGTGGTTTCGAATCACCGGTTGTTACGTGACAAGGAGTAGGGTCGCCTGTCCAACCTCGTGGGTTTCCTCCCACTGCTAAAGACCCCTACGCGCAAGCAAATTATGTAAATAAAATTAAACCATATGTTAGTCCCGAAATGACCTAGTTTGTGTCAAGTGGATGTTAAACCCCATTTCTCTCTCTCTCTTTTCCCTGTAAGGAGAGCCACCAAAGTCTCCACATGGGCCTCGTTCGAATCCGGAAAGGCCTTTTCTACAGAATCCTGATCAATCTTGGTCATTTTCTTCAGAGTTTTTTCAATGTTGTTTCTCGTTTTCTGATCTTTATCCTGCTCTTTATCAACTAGCCGCCCAGATATCTCCCCCATTATGCCTTTCTGCTTCCTTCGTCGCCTTTGCTTTTGTTTCTCTGCTAGGTTAATGGCCCTCTTTATGATTCTGTCTCTTCTCTCTTGTGGCATGGCATCTAAGTACCCAACAGTTTTGTTCTTAACAGCTCGCATTTTGCAGGATATATAACATAAAGTAGCACTTGGGGCATAAGCCTTGAGAACTGAGAATATCCCCATCATTTCTTCTGAGTCAATATTGTGCGACTTGGTCTCAGCTCTCAAAAACTTCAGTAATGTCCAACTCGAAATACTTTTTGTATTGTCTCTCAAGTACCTCTATGGTACTTCCAAGGCAAGCTGTCAATGTCCAAGAACATCTCTTTGAATGTAGGAGTCTCTTTTAGCCTCCGAAGCGTTGTATCGGATTCTTTAAGCTCACTGCCAAACAGGTCCTGCTCCATGGTCAGCGTATCATTCGGATGCTCCTTCAAAGATTTTAAGTTCTCTATCACAATCTGCACACTTGCGAGCCCATCTACATGGTCGATTTGATCTGCAGATGACCTGTAGAACAAGTTCATCCAAGGCCCAGTCAGAAGCTTTCCGAGGAGTCCTAGAAAATGCAAGCTTGTAATGGCTGCTGCTGAGGAGAAATCTGCTTGAACACAAGCACAGAGGCCACCAAGGGCAGGTCCAGTGTTCAGGTATTCCTCAAATAAGGTGTAGTGTTCGAACAGCACTCCACATATATGGAACATGATATGCAAACGATTACCCCTGTAACGAGGCAGAATCAGCCTTGGCAGCTTCTTGTTAGCAAGAAAAGTTATGAATCCCTTTGGATCGCCTTTAACATCTTTGTATCGCAACTTTCATTTGTACTACTATGTCTTCAACAACACAGTCAGTACCAAAAATCGACTCCGAAGAAATGATGGGGATGTTCTCAGATCTCAAGGCTAAAGCCCCAAGTGCTACTTTATGTTATATATCCTGCAAAATGTGAGCTGTTAAGAACAAAACTGTGGAAAACAATATATCTTCTTTTACTTTAATTTAATGAATTACTAATTATTTTTTTTTTTAAAGTCGAAAAGGGTTGTATGGTCAAAGTTTTAACTGAGCAGCTCCATGTTTATTTATTTCTGACTGACCTTGACCGGTCAAATCCTTTTAAATTCGAAATAATCTTGTTCCCGATATGAATAACCAACAAGCATGGAAAAAAAATAATTATATCTGAACCTTTTGTTTTGTTTGTGTGAAACTTTTTATTATGATTTTATGAATATTTCAGATGATTACAAAAATTCTGGGTCCACTTATAGAAGATTAAAAGAAGGAAGTCTACCAACCTTAATTCTTCCACAGAAAAGCGGAACAACTAAGAAATTGGATCGAAGAAAGCCACCGGTAACTTAATTTTCTGTTAATAACATTAGAATGTTTTTTATTGAATTGGACCACAGTAAGCATTTTAATACTATTATACGCCTTTTTTCTGAAATAAAACTTATTTTGGCGACTTTTCAGTATTTTTCGCATTGTTGGTCCCACAACTCCCTTCTTCAATATTAATTATGAATATGAACATTAAATGTTTCCTTATTAAATATCCGTATATGAAAATTCAATTCATCCATATTAAACATAGATTATGCAAGAGCTAAATCTGCCAATTGCAGGTCTTTCTTTAGGCCTGAAATGTTATTTAAATTATTAATCAGACATTAAACATGCATTATGCAAGAGCAAAATCTGCTTATTACAAGTCTTTCTTTAGGCCTGAAATGTTATCTAAATTATCAATTAGACATTAATTAACTTATCCAGACCATAATAAACTCTCGATGTCAAGGCTAACCTTCGATGTTGACAGGATTAGATTCCTATATGCCGCTAACGGCCATTGATAATTAAATAAAAAAAAAAAACAGCGACTGCCAGGCAGTATACGCCCACATTTTCGAGAGATGGATAGAAAACAAGCTAAACGAAAGTGATTTTTCCTACAATCAAGGGCCATAATTCAGGAAATTACAATTCCATATGCGCAAATATCGAAAGGAACCAAGATCTTTGAGTTATAAACTTACATTTCAAGTTTCAACAAAATCAGATAAAAATTGTGACCTCTATAGGGTCCACAACCTTGATATACCATATTTTTACGCTATTTGAGAACGAGGGGCGGCCATTTTGTCTGTCAGTTTTGGGCCAATTTTCACGAAATTCGAACTCAGTCGTCCTTAGGGTGTAACGGTGATATAATAATACGTTTTCTTAAATCGGATAAAAATTATGACCTCTATAAGGTCCACAAGCCAAAAAACGCGTTTTTGCGTACAATCAGGGGCCATAATTCATGAAGTTACAGTCCGATATGGGCAAATATTGAAAGGAACCGAGATCTTTGTGTTATAAACTTACATTTCAAGTTTCAACAAAATCGGACCGTAACTACCTGAATTATGGCCCCTGATTGTACGTAAAAATTCGTTTTTTGGCTTGTGGACCCTATAGAGGTCATAATTTTTATCCGATTTAAAAAACCGTATTATTATATCACCTTTAATCCCTAAGGACGGTTGAGTTCGAATTTCGTGAAAATCGGCCCAAAACTGACAGACAAAATGGCCGCCCCTCGTTCTCAAATTGCGTAAAAATATGGTATATCAAGGTTGTGGACCCTATAGAGGTCACAATTTTTATCCGATTTTGTTGAAACTTGAAATGTAAGTTTATAGCTCAAAGATCTTGGTTCCTTTTGATATTTGCGCATATCGAATTGTAATTTCCTGAATTATGGCCCTTGATTGTAGGAAAAATCACTTTCGTTTTAGCTTGTTTTCTATCCATCTCTCGAAAATGTGGGCGTATCCTGCCTGGCAGCCGCTGGTTCTATTTTATTCAGAATCCAAGGAAAACCGAGGAAACACAATGTTTATAATAATATAAACGAAGTAACCTTTCAGATATTGCAGAAATCATCTTTATGTCAATTGCCTGCTTTGTGGCTATGTCAGTCTTCAAGTGATTATACGTACATGTATCTATCTGTTTAAAACTGAAGATAAAAGAGTCACATACCATTTAACCATTGACAAGGACTTGAATTGTCAAGTACAATATAATAATTTTTTGTTTCCTGTTCAAATTAAAGTTTCATCTCCTATTGATTTACTTATAAGAACTGTTGAGAATATGAAGATATGTAGGGGCATAACATCAAAACAGTTACAGTCTTATTCTCAACTTCAGCCTACAACTGCAAGATTTTTCAGACACGTTGATCTTTTCATGAACACAAGTCAACATATAAATTACGAAAGCTATGTACGAGCTTCTGTATGTAATAGTTTTGTTGAGGACACTCAAAAAGAAATTTGTTTAAGTTGTCAACTTAAAGAGCAATAATAATAGTTTATTTCACATATATGACTACATAGGACATTGCATATTCAGATTTTAATTGACAATATATGATTCAAGGGATCAATATTTACATATTTGTAAATGTAATTTACAATTCAAAAATAGGTTAGCAATAATATATAGTTGCCATATAAAGCAGCAATAAGTGATAGAATATAATCATGTGGTACGAATTTGATTAAAATATAGATTTCAATCCATTTTGATTTATTTTTTCCAATTGACTCCACTCCATATATACCGAGACGCAATGAAATGGCACCTCTGATTTGACATGGCATAACTTTGCACCTTCCACAGTTGCACAAAACCATAGCTTTTTAAAATTACTGCAGGTGAATGATTTTTTTTCGTGTGTACTGCCAAAATGCATAGTAACATTTGAAAAAAAAAATTATGGAAATATTTCAATTCGTATTTGCACAGGACCAATAATAAACGCCCACAAAGCAGTAATGTTGCACATCGTAGCATGTTTTTGTCTATTTATGAAAATACAGCGTCATTGTATTGATATTGAATTTAATTTATTATCAGAAATCATTCATAAATTTGATAATTGCATAGACATATTTGATTTCAACCAAAAAAACAATGCATAAACGTGATATTTCAAATAGGGGTCCCAGGTAAAAAGGTATAAGGAGAGATAACTCGTATCATAAATGCCCTATAAATATTTAACAAAGACCAAATTTCCCCCTTGGGAACCCACCCTATCACCAAACAAAGAATGAAAACAAATTTAAAACATTAATCTTTTATTTAATGACTAGTATTAAAGGTTTAAATAGATATAAATTAGGCCTGTGTATTGCAATTTACAATTACATTTCAATATCAATATTTTTTTTAAAATACAGAAAACTTTTTTTTAATTTTTAATAACTGTTATATCAATAATTTATTTAAATCTTGCTGTAACAGTTGTGCAATAATTAATGCTTAAATAGTGAGAATGTAAAATATAAAAACATATAAAACAAACAGTTAAACAAAGTACTAAAATCAACAAATGGAAAAGTATTTACACATTTATTTATCTTTAGATATATTGTTTGGTTATTTTTTAAAGATATAAATCATGCCTGTGTATTGTTATTAAAAACAACATTTCAAAAATTAATTCACATAAATCATTTCCACTGAATGTTGTTTTATTGCACGTTGACACTGCTATCTGGTCATTTTGCACCAATCCACTTGCAATGGCAGATAATTCGCCTACATATTAGTAGTACAGAAGGCCAAACCGGAATACCCCTGCATACTCCCAAACCTTGTCATTGAGAAGAGGATTCAAACCTTTGAGCCCATTAATGACAGATCAATTGGCTAAATCGCCCCCCCCCCCCAAAGGACAAAACCATTGTACAGAAATAACAAATTATTACCGGTAGTTTGAAATGTCGACTTGTTCAATGTCCTTTGCCATCTTAATAAACATATCTAATAACTTGGCCATTCGCAGAATTTCTTTGTTGAAAATAATTCTTTTTCTAATCACATCTTCACAAAATATATCAAAGGTTGTCTCATATGAAGTCACCTCTGAAGACCTGAAAAATTAAGTTCATAGTTACTACACGTACAAGGAAATCACATTCTAGGTGATATTTCCATTTAAGATTTAACGATCAATCGCATGTATTGGCCGATGGTCGATTAAGAAAAACAAACATATTAATACACTTTAAACTTATCATATCACAAACAAGACTTGACAGTACAAAAGTGCTAGTAAAAAATGTTCACACATTCTTAGAACGGATGTACTTTGTTTTAGTCCATTTGGACACCACAATCTGGTCATTTTGTGCCAATTCACTTTCCATCAAAGATACCAGCACTACTTATACTATAGAGTAAATCGCCTACTCCCACACCTTGTCATTGAGGTCGCTGATAATGGGATTCGAACTCAAGTCCATTGATGACAGACCTTTTTGTAACCACTTGGCAATATAAATCCCTTCCCACCCACTAGTTGCCTATGTAGGCCTATGATGTAAAATAGATATAACAACAAGCCACAAGGACACAACAACTACTACAAGTATGAAATAAACTTACCCTGACGACTGAACTGTGGGTTTTCTTGTTAGGAATCGAACATAATCCTTGTAGCATTGTAGATGGTACACAGTCTTTATCTCTGATGTGCCTGGGAATGGTTTCATCTTCTTTCTTAATTGCTGCTTCTCGAAGTCACCCTAAAAATATATGAAAAATTGTAAATATCATGGATATGATGACAGACTGATAGATAACACCTATCGGCCACCCGACCACTCTCCCTAATAAAGCCCTTTTACGACACGCTGAGGAGGGGCGATGGACCTATTCCACTACCTAACACTGGGCATAGCCAGGAAAGGAGGGTGGGGGGGACAATATTAAATCACAACTGTTAAACAAATAATAAAAACTTACCCCCATCTTTAGTTTCTGCTAAAACCAGCTTATCAGAGGCAGTCTTATTCTGACACCTGTAGAACAAAGGTACTTTTTTGCAGATAATGCACACGGGAGGCAAGACATGTCCTCAATTATGATTTTGTTAATATTCTTTTGTAAATATCGCTCTTCTGTTTTCAAATATTATTATCACAGGTGGATAGCTTGGGTGGTTGATGATTTAGTGGCGGCTGATCACAAACCTTGTCTAGGCGTGGATTGACTCTCATCACTCGTTTGCTTTTCACCAGACTGTAATGCAACTCTTTTAGTAGCTCATTCAATCTTTGTTCTGTCTGTGAATCTCGAATAACACTTGGAATGATAGCCATAAACCGGTAGTGCATCATCTTTATTCCCTATAAATACAAACATACTCCTAATATTATTGCACACATAAACAAAATAAGCAAATTAGAACCTGAGAGAAGAATTTAGGTGCAACAAATATCCATAATAACAATTACTTTTTTTTTATGAAAAACAATAAGACACAGCCACCTGTTTGCACTTGATTTGTG